AAATTACGACCGCTTTTCATATAACGGTATATTTCAGAAATGCTTGAAACTGCAATATTTCGAAATTTAAGGACGCTAATTTACTTAAAATTTATACACCCCGGCTTATCGTGTAGCGGTAGCTTTCGGAAAGGTGGAAAACATATATTTAATAATTGCGCCGGGTATTTAATGTTCGGCTCCGCCCGAACTTAGACTTTCTTACTTGTTTTTATTTATTTCTAAGCTCAGTCAATCATTTAAGCATATTTATGTTGGTCTCTTAACCACTATTTATATCCACATTCTTTTATTTAAATATTTTCAATTAAATATAATTTTAGTTTTCTATTTATTTGATTTTTTATATATTTTTATTTTACATCTTTATAATTTTTTTATTTTTCTTTAGCGGCGCAAACATCGTTGATCAATTCCTCACAGAAGCAACGTAAGTTTTCCCCATTTTTTGTTTAATTATTTAGTTGTAACTGATATTTATTTGTATTTACATATTTACACTGCCGGCAAAAAGTATGGGCACAGCAAATTTTTCTCAATATATGCAACAATTTTTTTTCTAATAATTTTCCGCCAATTTTTTCTACAACAAAAAATATTAAAATATAGTTCCTAAACTTTGGGCAAAACTCACGAAAATTTAGCATATTTTCATGCAAATTTTCAACTTTTTAATTAAATTTTTTATAATTAAAAAAAATGCATATTTGTAGCCCAGTCAATTTTATTATAATAAAGTACAAGTTCTAGGTAGCTAGGAGTTACCATTGATTTTTGGCAATTTTTTCACGCAGTCATTTCCATACAAAAAAAGAAAAATCGAAAATACTTTCCCTTCAACAAAAAAAATCTCAAAAATCAATGCGATTTTTTACTACCTCCGAACTTGCAGTTTTTTACTAGAATTTAATGCTGCAAAATTGCATACTCGAAAAAGTTCTAAAAAATTAAAATTTGCATGAAAATTTGCTGAATTTTCGGGAGTTTTGCACAAAGTTTAGGAATTATATTTTTATGTTTTTTGTTGTAGAATGAACCATACTTTTATAAAAACTTGGCGGAAAAATATTAGAAAGAAATATTTATGCATATATTGTGAAAAATTTTCTGTGCCAATACTTTTTGCCGGCAGTGTACACTTTTTTTATTATTTGCTTAAATCTCATTATCACACATACCCCAATTTTCCGCTGCCAATTTTTTTTTACAGAAAATTCTTGTACGAGTGCTTGCTACTCAAATTGTTATATAAATATATGAATGTAGTTTGGCATTTTTAATGGTAAACGTACTTAGAACATATTTAGCCCGGTCAAGTTAGAAGTTCAAGGTTACCATAATTCGCATAAAGTTGAAAATTGGTACGAGTGTTACGAACACCATTATGAATGAAATGCCAAAAGTCGGCATCGAGCCCACGTCTGTAAAAAAATTTATTCAAGGTCAAAGGTCATATACGTTGGTTTTTTCTTTTAATTTTTCAGCAAAACGGTAAGGTTTGTCACAAAAATATCTATAAAAACCGTTATAACATTTTTCTTCCTAAGAATTACTATTTCTGAGTTATAGCGACTCAAAAAATTTTGTTCTCCATAATATGCATAATTTACACTGTACTTGTGTGGTAGTGTATTTGGCGCGGTTTCCACGGTAGGCCTACTGGACAGCTTATTTTAGTCCTATTTAACTAAATAATATTGCATCAAATAAAAATAGTACCATTGCAGGTGATGAAAGCCATTTGAATTAAAAGTAATTAGAGAAAACTATTCATCTTATTGATAATTACACTAATTTACAAGAAATTCCAACTGTGGCACTAAACCATCACTTGTCATGTAAAATTTTCCACTGAATCTGAATAGTTTTTGAGATATAGCCAAATTTCGGTTTTTAGAGATGGGAAAAAGTGTATTCACGTAATTCCATATTTTCTTTTATATAGCTGGCGGATATCAACTTTCTTTCTACAGTAGTGAAGCACATTAAATTTACTATCTTCTGCATAAACGATTTATTCCAAACGGATTAGTAGTTTAGGAACTAGTCATTGATTCATCGACAATTGTGCATAATAATAAAAAAAATATATATATTAAAAAAGTTACTTTTGGTAAAAATATCAACATGAAAGAACCTGTTAACTTTTGGATTTTTGCACTCAGAGCATGATTCTTCATTAATACAATAAGGCCCTGCTCATCAACATAAATTGAATAATAAACTTAGAAGTTATGAGCTTTTAAGTAGAGATACATATAAAAACCTATGAACAATAATTGAGCTTAAAAGTTATTCAAAGTATATTTAAACAAGTATATATTTAAGAAGTTACAAGCACTACATATACTCCCCTTTCACTAAAAAGTCAAACTAAAATTATTTAAATCAAACCAAAGGTAACTCGCCTTTTTGGTTTTTTTGGAATATTGTTAAAAATGTTCTCTATAAATGCAGGTTTAATTCTGTCAATTGATATATTCCTATACGGGTTGTGTATCTTTACTTCGAAATATTTTGGGTGTTTTTCAATGACTTCGTATATGGAGATTGCAGTCCCTCATTATTACTGTCGACACGCACAAAAACTTGTTTGCATGATAGCAAATCTTTGGGTATATAAATTTTATTTGAATTTTAGTGATGCGATATGCCTGAATGAAAAATTTGAAAATGAAGTTTAATTTTTGTAAGAAAATCATTAACATTAAAATTATATTCAGATTGAACTACGAGTTCACTTGGTAAACGTAAATTTTGTCCATAAACAAATTCCGCTGCAGTAGATTTAATATCTTCCTTGAATGAAGACCTTAAACCCAATAAGACCAGAGGAAGTTCATCCGACAAATTTATAGAATTTCCCCTTGCCAAAATTTAAGCTTTTAACTGTCTGTGTGGACGTTCAATCATGCCATGAGCTTGAGGATGATATGCAGGGGTTGTGAGATTATATTTAATTCAGTTTAAACAATTCGGTGTAGTAAAATTTAATGAATCACAAAATTTTCATTTTAAAGAATATAAAAAGCTTTGAAGAATAATTGAACTTAAAAGTTATTCAAAGTATATTTAAACAAGTATATATTTAACAAGTTACAAGCACTACAGTTCATCAACATCTCATTCTCCAATCGGCTTCCTGGTATTGAGTTGTGACGAATGAAATATCGCCTATTTTCAACTGGTGTTGCTGGGTCGGCCAATGCAGTCAGTGTATCTCTAATGTTGTCAGGATTAATTACGACAGTCCCACACCTGTTTGCCTCGGTACATGTATTCCTCGCGGGATATCCAGCATGCCACACGTTCTTATCATGTTCGACCTTTCCAATACAGTCTAAAATCATTGCCATTACGCTAGGGACTTGATGGACGCGGTAAACAATATGGGGGTCGGCAATCCCAGCTACTGAAGCTAAGTTCCACGTTGTGCATGTCCGCTCGTAGATGATTGCTGTTGCAAATCCAACTGCACGCGTAGTGATGGATATGGATCCAGCGCGTGGTTGCATAGTTGATTGAACTTGGCTTACAACTTGTGCAATCCTGTCATCCCGATCTGATTCAGTCAGACCGTATTTCGCTTCGATGCCCTTGACAAATGCGTTAAGTTGCTGGTCATTCATGCGATTTCGGAAACCTTCAGTCGACCTTTTCTGAGCTCCTTTTCCTCTACGTTTCTTTCCGCCTTTTTTTTTGCTCCGGCTCGAAGGACCATGCAAACGCTTGGAGCAACGTAGAAAAAATGAGAATAACACCGTGAATTAATACAATATTGATAAGCTTTAAAATGCAAATTCGGTGCTGCTTACAAATGATTTTGGCTTACAATATTACCTTGATAAATACGCAGCGGTGATGGCTGGATTGCGTCCGGTGTCCTTGATAGCTCGAAAGTAGTGACCGAGCTAATTCTTGAGAAGCTAAGTTGAAAAACGTTGACCTCACAGTTTATTCTTGATCTGCACAGGAATAAGAAGAAAACATTGGGTGCCAAATCAGAAATGTGCAGCAGATGACCCGACTCATCAATTCGATGTTTTTAATGCTAAAAAACTAGATTTGTTTCAGCTGATCTATTGGAGCTCAAATTATCGTGGTGCAGAACAATTCGTCTTTTTTGCGAGCATTAAATTCGAATAAATATGTAAAAACAAAATTAATTCTGATGGAAGAGAACATGCTAAAGAAAAAAAAAAATAAAAATTAAATTGTTTATTCTCTAATTAAAAGTTAGTTTTCACTTGCAAACAATTTCCTTTTCCTGTGGACTTTTTTTCTTTTGGAAATTCATGTCTTCACATTGCCATCGCCGCCAAAGCACATTCATAAAATGTACAAACTGGTCGAAAAGCGATAAAGTATATAAAAAAAAAACCACCCAACCCGCTTAGCTGCAAGGCAAGCCTACAAAATGTTTTTCGTTGCAAAAGGACTTGCGGTTCTAACAAGATTAATAGGGCTATTCGCGATCCGGTGCAAATGGCCTAGCATCATTGCATTGCAAATTTGTATTGCAAATTATTTGCAATACACAAACAAAATACACGCATTTGCATTTGTCATGGCTTGACAAATTTGCAATACCTAAAATCCATAGCATAAAAATGCTATGCATTGCATTCATAAACAAAACCAAAGCTGATGCACAAAAATTGTTTTGCAAAAGCTTTACCATGACAGTTTAATAAAGGTCGCTCACAATCGATGGCATATTTCTGCAATTGCATAAATTTGTCAGCTCTTATGCACCGAAACGCGAATAGCCCTAATGTGTTGTCGTCGCCCTCCATTTGCCTTTCAACTGTATAATTAAGTTGACAGCACTAGAGCCTAGTTGTGTTGTTGTTGTTAATTTACAACAATAACACAAAACTTCAGACATCCTGCAGCATTGGGTGTCACCTTGTGTTTTTCATTTTCTAAAGGCACGTGCAAGTGTTGTTGCTGCGGGTGAAAATTATACTTTCTTGCTTCTTATTTGCTATTTACCAGCGCGACATGGTAGTATCTAATGCCTGCTAACTTCAAACGAATATTATACAACAGCCAGCGCTTTAAGCTTTATGCTACGGTCTAGTGGTTGCTTATACCTGATACTAGTAATGTTTGTGTAAACTTATATAAATACCTTTTAATCTCTCAGACATTGTATTTAACGCCTTTTAGCAACCGCTTTGGTATAATCAAGTTTAATGTAAACGTTTGCGCTGTTTTAACTTTTGAACTGCTCTTAAACTCTTCGGTTCATTATCTTTTTTATTAAATGCATGTATGTATGTATTTCAAAGTTCAACTGTCCTTGCGTTTCAACTGCTGCTAACTAGTACAAAGTTTGTCGAAGCATTACCCCAACTTTCCCAGCGTGTAACAGATTATTTTTACAAATATGGAATATTTAAAATCTACGAAAATTTTATCACCGAA